AATTTTATTATGGAAATAATAATACACTAACCTCCAACTCCCAAATCGTGCTCTTTTAAAGCTTTCATACAATGTATAGCAGCTGCCTCAGCTGTTAATAAAAATTTGTACATATATATATATAATGAGACGTATTTACGAATATGCATTATTTTAAAAGTAAATTTACATACGTTCAGTTGTAAACAATAAATTAGGAGTGTCTTTTTGTTGAATCAAGCCAGCCTTGAAATTAATAATTTAGCAAATTTCATCTATATATTGAATAAACAATATGATATCTTATAATGTACCTTATGCGCACAATTGCGCATTGTAGCTATTGCAGTAGCATCGAACTCTGCAGGAATCTAAGATAAATTTAAATAAGAAAAAATTCAACAGAAATTATGTAATAAGCAAATAGATGTATATACACACCGTAATGACAATGCAAACTTGACTATAAAAGTCAACCATTGGCCAACGAGTTTCTAAGGTTGTTTTAAGAGATTTTGTCATCTCACTTAAATAATCAGTAATTGCGGTTTTATAATCAAGGCCAGGAGGGAGTGAAGGTTTATTTTCCATATTTCCTAAATGAAGCTTAAACAATTCAACGGGTTTTTTACTAATATTATTTCCCCTCCTTCTTGGTCTTTCAGTTAAAGCTGGAGCGCCCCAACCTTCAAGTTTCCAATTATCATTGTATTTTAAAACTGTTGGGGTTTTGAATCTTCCTTCATATTCTTGCCAATCAGTGTTAGCAAAGATTTCACTAGGGTTCGCTTTATGAGCATACGCATAGCCCTAAATTTCAAATATACACATTAAATGAAGTCTCAAAATTCCAAAGTTAAATTTAATAAATCCAATGAGCACTTACCGAATAGGTCGTACCAAAATCTGCAAAATGAAAAGGATAAATGATAAAAGTATATATTAATCAATTAACGATAATAGTTATAATTAAATTTTATAAATTTGAGCATTCGTCTTTTAGCTTACCAATAGCTGCAACAACACGAATATCAGGTTCAGTCATTTTAAGAGAGATTTCTCAAAAGTTTATAAAAAAGTTTTAATGTGCAAAAATCATTAAATAAAAAAACTATTTAATATAAATTGAGCAACGAGATATTAAAAACTATCAGCTATTTGAATTTCCAAATTTCTTTGTTTCTTTTTTTGTATTGTCTTTGTTTCTTATTTTTCACTAAATATAATCACGAATGCATTTTATCATCGTACTAAAGACTTTAAAAGGTAACCCGGACAAAAAAATGAATATATCCGTTAATCTGCGTATTATATAGAAGGCTGGTTTCACGTTTTTATATAGTGCATATTAATATCTTTGTTATGTTTACTGTTTATAAAAGCATCAAAAGTTTTTCGATTTTCTATTTCAAACTAGTTTAAATTTTAAAGAAAATACTTGTCAAAATATGGCTACTAATGATCATAGCGATCAAATGGATGTGGATTCCGTAGAAAGTGAATCAATAACATTGTTCAAGTTGTATCGCCAGTCTGCATTTTTTGGAATTGGATATATTTGTGAGACTTTCCACTTTACTGGAACGTTGCCTGTCTGGATGCAATACTCTGCAAATG